AAGGAAAGAACTTGAATTTTGGTTTGGGAAATCTGCCAGGAAAAAGCCGAGAAGACAGCAAAGAGATACTTGCCTAACAAGGAGGTTACACACGCAGTAAAAAACCGCATTCGCATAGGCGAAAAACAATTATATTCTCTCTCTTTTTTTTTCTCCTTCTTATTACTATGTTAGACTATGATTTTTATCAAGTTTTAGGAGATGCTTGAGCATTAACTTTAATTTATCTATGAATTGAAAGATTTTTTGTTTATTGTTGATTAATTAAAATGTCATTTATAATTATTTTCTTTTACGAGTTGATTCATGCTATATATTTTAGTATTTTATAATCATGGATGTTTGATTTAGGTACGCCAACTACTTTGAATATTCATAATTTAATTTCTAGATTCATGACTTTAATACGTAATTGTTATTGTTCTCGTTTAGTGAATTAGGACTCGTGTATATCTAGGGTAGCAAGGATATAAGTTAAATGGTCTGATATTTCGATTTTGTTGTTTAGACTAATCTATATCTAGGGCTCGTGTATATTATATTGCAAGTGCATTAAATTAATTTGGAGTTTACTCTAGGTTGACCACAAGTTAGATTTAATAGGATAGCTTATTTCAATTAAATACTAAGTAATGAAAAATTCGGTTAACGGAGCTTATTGTTAGCTAGAGTTGAAAATTTATTAGCAATTTAATGATAGCATTGAAATTAGTTGACGGTAAATCTTGATTAAGTGATAACTGAACCGAAAACTGAACATCTCTCATTTGATTTGATTTGATTTGATTTTATTATTATTATTTTTATTTTTATAAATAATTCTTCCACTTTTATTGATTTCTTAGACCAGTTCAATTAATACGAAACTAGTACGTAGTCCGTGCGATGCACGTGTAAACAATATTAAATTACAATTATAAGTTAAAGAGAAAAATAAATAATATTAACTAATAATTATAAATTAAAGATGCAGGGTAACATATATATGTAAGAAGTATCTAAAATATTTTATATTAAACGCAATTCTCATTCACCAAGAAATAGTGTAAATAACGCAAAAAGTCAAGTTTCAATATATACACTAACACGACCCACGTGCACGAAAACGGTGATCGCACGGTCTAAATCAGTCCAAATAACCAAAGGTCGTGAACAATCCATTTCACCTATAAAAGGCAAAATTTTCCGATTTTTTAGGGTTTTCATAAGATCCACCTGCACATTTCTTGTTGTTTCAACTTTGTTTCGTTTGATTCTGAAGAATGATTCACAAATTAACATTGTGAATCTTATGTTTTT